TTTTGTTTCTTCATCATTGTAGCAAATCTTCATCCTTTCTTTGATGGCATACATTATAATTATTAAAAAGCTAGGATGATGATGATTTACATTCAATCAATAGATTATAATATTTGGTAAGTTATTGTTCATGGTCCTTATGTGCCTACTAAGACTATCAAAGTCGATGGAAAACCCGATCATAATATTCGTAAACCTAGAAAGGAATATGATGAAGATGATAAAGGAAAATTATCCTTAAATGCTAGAGCCGAAAGCCTAGTTTATTGTGTATTAGATAGAAATGAATTTAATTGTATTAGCACATGTGATTTCGCATATGATATTTGGCATGTATTAGAAGTTACTCATGTTGGTACTAAAAAAAATGAAGGAAACCAAAATTAGCCTCTTGGTTAAAGAATTTTGAAACTTCTTTATGAAACAAGATGAACATATTGTTGATATGTTACTCACTTTACCAATATTGTTAATGGCCTTAAAGGCTCTGATCGCAAATTTACTAACGGTGAGCTTGTGAGTAAAATGCGTAGGTCACTATCTAAAGAATGGAGCTCATTAAGGATGTTGATAGAAAACACCAAAGATTTCAATTCATGTCCTTTGGAAGAACTACATGGAACATTGATGACTTACAAGCTCAACAAAGCCGAAACCAAGGAGAAAACAAAGAAAAACAAAGAAGAATCAAAGGAATCCTATAAGCGCCAAATCGTTCTTAAATCGACAATTGAAGAAGGAGCTACAAGTGAAAATATGAGTGACAAAGAGCTGGATAATCTAGTCCTTGTTAAGAAATTGAGAGGTCTTCAAAATAATCAAAGATTCCAGAAAGAAGAAAAAGTGAAGAAATAAGTAAGAAAATTATTTGCTATGATTATGACAAACTTGGTCACAAGAGCACTGAGTGACCAAACAAAAAAAAGAACATCAAGAAAAAAAGTCATTCCAAGCCATATGCGAAGAGAGTGATGATGATCATGATGGAAATGATAGTTAAGAAGAAATTGCCAACATGTGCTTCATGGCACTTTAAGATGAGGTAAATTCTATTAAAAATGTTCATATGACGTGTCATCTACCTCCCACAATGAAATTTTTGAGAAATTTGAGAAGCTTTCTCTAAATCACTTAATTTTTAAAAAGGAATACCTATTGTTGAAGGTCACAAATTGAAAGTTGTCGACATTCTGTATCAGAAGATTGAACAATGAGAGAATCTATATAGTACTCACTAGAGCATATAACTTCAATTCTCAAAGTCAAAATCTAGTTAATTGAATTTGTGAACAATTCAGAGAACTGAGGTTGAAGAAATCAATGGCATGTAACCAGTTCTCTTGAATTTGTGACATGTGAAATATGCATTTGACATGCGACATGTGAAACTGTTACATGTGATATTAATTCAATGGCATGTGATAAGTTCTTTTGAATTTGTAACCTATGAAAATTAATCTGTTACTTGTGCAATATGATATGTGACCTATAATATACGAACTGTGACATATTATTATTAACATATGATCTATGATAGGCTAATTTTGATGTGTGATTTATAGACATTAATCAATGAGCAATACAATATGACATACCTATAAAGTGTGACTTCTCACTTGTGAACATGATCTATACCAGTTTTTGTTAATCTGTGATCTTTGGACATTTATCTATGACCTATGCATAATGACATGTGACCTATGACCTATCACCACCACCAACACCACCAACTATCAACATTGCATTTGACTTACACTCTGTGAACATGTGATTATTGCTAGCACCACCACCACCACAAACTACCTAAAAAATCACCACAAACCACCTCAAAATTCACTACAAACTACTGCAAATCCACTAAAAATTCACTGCAAACCATAGCAAAGCCATCATACACCACCACAAAATCAAATTTGTAACCTACTCAATTGTAGCATTCTTGGTACAGAGTGATCATGGAGATGACTGCAGAATGGCGCGGCGCGGCTCATTGAGGTGCAGCGTTATAGCTGCATCTTCGATGGTGCAGTGTTGCAGCACGATACCACCCCCAATGGCACCCCTTAAATTCATTAGCAGAGGGACGACGTTGCAGGAGAAAAGAGAAAAGGTGCTATTGCTGACCTCCTTTGAGAGCTATCCACGCCACCTTTGTTCCCTACATCGAAGAGTATGGGGATGGATAGAGAGAATAGAGTGATTAAGAAAGAGAAGAAATGATAGGGAAGATACAGATATTGTATGTGTGTGTTACATGTATATATATAATTTATAATATTGTTAATATTAAATGTGTAATTATCTCCCAATTTATGAATAATGAAACTTTAGCTCATTTTAGGACTATAATATTTAAAATCGACTAGGTGTAATTTTCACTTTGAAATATCAGGCAATAGATTTATGCAAGGAAAAATTTCATATCTAAGAAATTAACTATAACCTATTACAAAATTAAGAAAGAAGTTTAAAATTTTAAAAATAAGATATTATTAATTTTTATTTATTAAATATTTAATCAAAAAATATATTTTATTGATTAAATATATAAAAGTCACAATTTCTATACATTTGCTCACAATTATTGAATTAATTGGTCACAAATTATTTTTCGGTTACAAATAAAAAATCTTATAGGTTACAAATTATTTTATAGCCACAAATCATAAATTTTATAAGTCACAATTTGTTCATAGATCACAACAATTTATTTACTAGTCACAAATCATAAATTTTCAAACTCCAAGTTATTTCACGATCACAAATTATCAAATTAATTGGTCACAAATTATCGAATTAATTGTCACAATTTCAAATTTAGTCACAATTACATATTTTTTAGGTTGCATATTATTTTTTTGGTCACAAATCAACCAATTTATTGATTACAATACTCAAATAATTGACCACAAACTTTTAGTCCTACCCACCACCATCGTTGTCGTCCCCACTACCACCACCATCACTCCGATGTCATTGTCGTCGTCGCCGCTGCCACCACCACCACACCACACCATACCAACACGAACACCAAATCGCACTACCGACACTGCTGCAAACCACCAACACTATCAATGTTAACAAACCACCGATCACCTGTGCACCACCAACACCATCAGTAGCACTACTCACACATGACTGCTCCTATGAAAGGCGAGCAACAGCGTGACGACAACGCTTGTACAAATCACACCAACAAAAAGATGGATGCAGAAGACAAAAAGAGAGATAGAGAGAGATTGCACCACGGAGAAACAAATCGCACCGCTTATGCGCTTGTCATCACGCGCCTGTCATCGTGCCCAATAGTTGTTGGTGCTAATATAGGGTAGGGAAGGTTGTGAGAGAAAAATGAAATAGGACAAAGGTGAACAGGGTTTTGTCGGGGGGGGTTGGGGGTAGGTGGGAATGGGTATAGAATTAAATTAATTTAATTTAATTTTATAATATTAAGAAGTTTAAATTATCTAATTTTTGAACAAAAAAAAACTTTTAAATATGATTTTTCAATTGAGAATATAAAAAACATGGTTCCATGTAATTTCCACTTTAAGCAAGCCCAATTTTCTTCGCCCCAATCATATGGATTGGAATGGCATTACAGCCCAACAGTTTAGAATATAGGATTTATTTTATTTTATTTTATTTTTTTTAAGATTTAGGGTCTTCGTGAATTTTTTTTTTTTTTTTTTTAAGATTTAGGGTCTTTGTGACAAAAATTTTTATAAAATTTTAATAGATATTTATAAAAATTAATAAAATATGTGATTGAAAATAAAAGTTGAAGATTCCATAAATGTGTGATTTGAAAAATTGAAAATAAAAGTTGAAGATTCCATAAATGTGTGATTTGAAAAATTGATAAAATTTTAGAAATTCAAACTTTACAAAATATCGAATTTGTGTCACTTGATTACAAAGATATCACCAGCTGTAATGTAGAGCCAATGCAAGCGCTAGCTAACTTTTAAAACCCAAAAAGAATTTGAATATATTCCATCATATCCACTCGGAATTTGAAAAGTATATATATATCTGAACTTTTTGCTCTTGTTTTCCATATTCCCTGAAAGGATTCTTGATTTGCTAAAAAAAGGTACGATTTGAATAATCTTAACTTGATATTTATTTAAAAAAAAAAAAATTAATTAGACATACGAAAAAAGACACTTCAAAGAAAATTCACGTATCTATCCTTTAGTTCAAGATATTGCATTCTTTGTTTTACAATTTTTGGTGGGCTAATTGGATTTGCAAGGGCTTGCATATAAACCCTCAAAATTCGAGTTTTATTGAATAGAGAGATAATGCTGTTGCTTAGAGCTCTTTTATTTGGATATATATATTTATTTATTTTTATTGATGGGCTTTTAGCAGATGGTGCTGCTACGGTTGGTGGCGAACTTGCTTATTTGCCTGTGTTGCCAAGGATATAGTTGTTTTAGATCTTTCCATAGATTTAGAAATGAACCGAACAAAGTGACAAAATATTTTCATGTAGCCAATTTAGGAAAACAAGGTTTAGTTTGTTTTTGTTGCTTACTGTAGGTGATTGAAATACTCTATCCTGTATCTCATTTTGGGGTTGGAGATGAGGGAAGGATGCAGATGTGTTCATTTTTATTTGTTTATATGATCATATTCAACTCTTTCTAGTTTCTATATAAATCTTTGTTCAAGTTGAACCAGAAAAATATTCTCCCCATTTGGCATATATTTATAGCTAAATGCCTAATCTCCTGGATCAAGTGGGCAATATAAAGATTTTTCACTTTTAACGTGATAAGAAAACTTTAGTTATGGTTCTCTCAAATTTGGAGAATCATATTAAGGTTTTCTTACCACATAGCATTTCAAAAGTTTTTATCCTGTCCACTGGGAGCACAATATGAATTTCGTTAATATCTATTTGAGACACAATCTGTATTAACTGTAGACTACAGTTCAGAATTGATATTTTCTGTGAGGTTGTAATATTATTTCTAAAGTTATGCATTTTTGGTTTCTTTATTAGTTGAACTTTTCATCTATTTGTGTTCGCCGAATATGATATTCTCCATTTATATGATAATCCACTTTATTCTCTGTATGGGAAAAGGAACGGCAAAGAACATATCTTGGAAATAAATATTTAGGCATTCTGATCCTTAGAAAACACAAGATTGTTATTCAAATTTTGTAGGGAAGATTTCTCCAATGTACTATTGAAGTGTTTGCTTGACAGGAGAAGAAGATTTTCGCTGTGTGCAAACATGCTCAAGGTCACGAATGATCAAGTCGCAGGACACAAAGCCGGTGATGGGAAACTTGGGCCCCTTATCGATGATTTAGGCCGTTTCTACAAGCCTCTTCAGAGTAATGAACGCGGATCAAATGAACTTACTTTCTACACATCTTTCTCTACAAACACTAGAATTCCCAGCCCCATTCGCAGATTCTTCCCTAACTTTTATGGCACTCAGCTTGTTGAGGCGTCTGATGGGTCCAGCTTGCAACCTCATCTAGTTTTGCAAGATTTTAATTTTGGTCGAGTGAATCCATCAATAATAGATATCAAAATTGGTTCTCGAACTTGGGATCCACAAGCATCAGAGGAGTACATTCAAAAGGGTTTGAAGAAAGATAGGGAAACTTCAAGCCTTCCATTAGGATTCAGGCTATCCGGGTTCCAAATCTATCAAAACAGAGAATTAGGATTCTGGAAGCCAGAGAGGACATTTCAGAGTCTTTCAGCTGATGAAGTAGACTTACTTCTAAGAAAGTTTGTTTCTTCCAACACATCTGCAAATTTGGATTTGCAACCTGATTGCTCTTTTGCTTCAATTGTTTATGGAGGTTCAACTGGTATTTTATCACAATTACTGGAACTAAAAGCATGGTTTGAGGATCAAACTATCTACCACTTCTATTCTTGTTCAGTACTTATGACGTATGAAAAGGAGTTCGTTTCAAATGGAAAGATCCCATGTGCAGAGATCAAGCTTATTGATTTTGCACATGTTTACGAAGGCCAGGGAGTTATCGACCATAACTTCTTGGGCGGGCTCTGCTCGTTGATAAAGTTCATTTCAGAGATCCTCATTAGTCCAGAAGAGTGTACAACTGAAGCTTCTCCTAAGGACATTCAAAAGAATCAGATATATTTTGAAGAGTTAATTAAATGACTCATCGTCAACATTTATATCTGGTTACTACTTGCCCACTTACAAATAAAAGGTTACTGAATGCTCACTATAGAGCTTTACCCATCCATCATCCTTTCGATTTATGTCTAAAGAATTGAAACTTTGTGCTGCTGCTACTACAATGTTCAAATTTAACATTAGCTACTCATCTGGAAGCTTAAAGATTTATGTGCATTTTGATATCCTTTCTGATTTTTTTGCATGTTTTTCTCTCCAATCTTTTCCTTTCCCCTTTCATAGGACCCACAACTACTACTCGTTTTTCCACAACTCGTTTACCCCTTTCTGTTAGAGCTATTATGTTTTACAGTATTCACTGTTGGACTGTTAAAGGATAAACTTTGTAAATATGATGATACTAAGGTGGATGTGGTCATATTCAAGGGCGAAGGGAGGGGGACCAGGGCTGCCCCAAGTCCGTTTAGATTTTCTTAGGTAAACCTTTTCTAGTTGGAATTTTTTTTATATAGCAAGTCTCTGTGTGTGTGTGTGTGTATTTTTTCCATGGCTCCACTTCTGGTCATATTAAAATGTATAAGATAAAATAAAACATTGAGAATTTATGCCAAGTAGTGAGGATTGATGATAAATTACAAGAAGACTTAGGTGGTTGAGATATATATAGCATAGAACTAAAGAGGATCCTGTATACATGAGTAACGCTATCTCGATGGACCGAGTTAGATTATGGAGATGTAGATTAAAACCAACATGATATTTAATATTTGTTAAGGATTCAATTATCTTAGATCTTTGAATTTGAAGTGTCTTTAACATTTGACAAGTAAAGGAGTGCATGGTACATGGTGGAGATGATGCTAAATTTTCGATAAGAGTATGCGACCGTTTTTAGTTGAACAAATTTGACTGAGAGGTCATTGCATTGGGGGGTCGGGG